GGAGGGGAGGAAGGCGGGCACCGCCTGGGCATGGCGATGGCCCGGGGCTCCTCGGGCGGCAGGCCCTCGTCCTCCTCCTCCGCGGCGGCGGCGGCGGCTCTCTTCGAGGAGGGCGACGGGGCGGAGGAGGAAAGCCAGAGCGCCCTGCACAGCCAACAGCGCGTCCTCATCAACATCTCCGGCCTGCGCTTCGAGACTCAACTCGGGACCCTCAACCAGTTCCCGGACACGCTGCTGGGCGACCCCGAGAAGCGGATGCGCTACTTCGACCCCCTGCGCAACGAGTACTTCTTTGACCGCAACCGGCCCAGCTTCGACGGCATCCTCTACTTCTACCAGTCCGGGGGCAAGCTTCGGCGGCCGGTCAACGTCTCCATCGACGTCTTCGCCGACGAGATCCGCTTCTACCAGCTGGGCGAGGAGGCCATGGAGAGGTTCCGGGAGGACGAAGGCTTCATCAAGGAGGAGGAGAAACCCTTGCCCGGCAACGAATTCCAGCGCCAGGTCTGGCTCATCTTCGAGTACCCCGAGAGCTCCAGCTCCGCTCGTGGCATCGCCATCGTCTCGGTGCTGGTCATCCTCATCTCCATCATCACCTTCTGCCTGGAGACTTTGCCCGAGTTCCGAGATGAGCGGGAGCTCCACGTGCCGCTTCTCCCTTCGCAGAACGGCACCCCTCTAGAGATCCCCCGCCAGCAGCGCCCCAGTGCCCTGACCGACCCCTTCTTCATTATTGAAACCACGTGCGTCATCTGGTTCACCTTCGAGCTGCTGGTCCGCTTCTTTGCCTGCCCCAGCAAGCCTGAGTTCTCCAGGAACATCATGAACATCATTGACATTGTCGCCATCATCCCTTACTTCATCACCTTGGGCACAGAGCTGGCTCAAGAGCAGCAGGAGAAGGAGCAGCCGGGCAGCACCGGCAATGGAGGGCAACAGCAAGCCATGTCTTTAGCCATCCTGAGGGTCATCCGCCTGGTCCGGGTCTTCCGGATCTTCAAGCTCTCCAGGCATTCCAAGGGGCTGCAGATCTTGGGGCAAACTTTGAAAGCTAGCATGCGAGAACTAGGCCTTCTTATCTTCTTCCTTTTCATTGGGGTTATTCTTTTCTCCAGCGCTGTGTACTTTGCTGAGGCTGATGACCCTGAATCACATTTCTCCAGCATCCCTGATGCCTTCTGGTGGGCAGTGGTCACGATGACCACAGTGGGTTATGGAGATATGAGACCTGTCACCGTAGGGGGCAAGATCGTGGGCTCCTTGTGTGCCATCGCTGGTGTGCTCACCATTGCTCTCCCTGTCCCTGTCATTGTGTCCAACTTCAACTATTTCTACCATCGGGAGACTGACCACGAGGAGCAGTCTATTCTCAAAGATGAGTCTGGCAGTGTTGATGGCAGCTCAGCTGGAGACCTGAAGAGACAAGGCAGTAAAAACTCATTGGATAAATCTGTTGTGCACTTGGAGAACACTGAGGGGATCGGCAATGCGACCGGGTCTGTAGAGAAGGCCAATATCAAAGCTAAACACAGTGTAGATCTTAGGAAATCTCTCTATGCACTCTGCTTAGATACTAACAGGGAGACGGACTTGTAAAACCATTGAAACAGAAAGAAAATCAGATGTGCTTGGTGGGTTTGTTGAGGACGAGTAAATAGTGCTGCCAGTATTTATTTTTAAATATGGTAGCTATTTCAAAGACACTTCCAAGACTATAAATTGGTGGTAGTATTCTGTTTGTTTGTTTGTTTGTTTGAATGTTTGTTCTCTTCCATGACACTGAGAGTGTTACTTCTTTAAAAAAGCCATCTTAAGCTGGGTACCTCCCATTATCTTGGAGTCTTTTTAGCTCAGCAAGTAAGGTATCTGGCAGTAGAGCTAAAGGTTGGGAGTTTGATTCCTCACTGTGCACCCTGGAAGAGTGTTTGTGTGGCCTCATGTAAGCTGCACAGTCCCAGGATGTCCCCAGTAGAAGGGAATGTTAAACTCCTTCTGAGTACTTTCTACCTTAGAAAACCCTCAAAAGAGTCACCATAAGTCAGAATTGCCTTGATGGCACACAATTACTATTAACAAACTGGAAACTAATGTTGCTTACAGATGATCTATTTTAGTAAAAAAGCAGCGATTTCTAAATGGCTCATTTGTAGCACAAGTTGCTTGTCTAAACCCTTTTTACCATGGGAAGTAAAGCGTTCTTTGAGAATACAAATGGTTCTTTGTTGGTATTCTAGATTCAAATTGAAATAATACTATTTTCGATATGTATGATTATATTTATAGCTAAAAAAGAGCACTTTTTGTGATATATGAATTTATGAAATCTCTAGAAACATTTAGCTAAGACATTCCCCATTTTAAAGTGGAAAACCGATTTTTTCATGTGTGAAGTAAATGTGGTATTTTCAGCCTTCTAGCAGAAAAAAACATTTTGTTGTCAAAGTTGTGTTCTTGTTCTCTTGTTGAGCCTTAAATTATTAAAACATGGATTTTTCCTTAATAAACACAGCTGTTACTGCATCATATTTCTAGTAATCCAGTGCTGTACTTTTTATCCCAGGAAACAAAAATCTTTGAGTTTGTTACTGTTAATCTTTAAAAAAACAACAACAATTTTTTTTTTAAAAAATGCGGCATTCTTAAATGGGTGTGATCCAAGTGCACAACAGATCAAAAGGAGTAAACAAAGCATACAGACATACTCAGGATCTATGAAGCCTTTTGGATTTGCACTCTCCTTTCTAGGTTGCACAATTCATAGATGCCATTTGTATCTATGCTTGTTGGCTCACTGTTTTACTATATCTCAGCAACCAATATTTCTAGAAGAATTTGATGCAGCTTAAATAAGGTTCTTTTGATTTCTGCACTATTTGGGAAGAGAGAGACCTTCAGAATGACTTAAAGCTTTATTTAAAAACAGTATGATGGACTGCATTGATGTTCCTGAATGATACGTGAATGACAAAACTACCTTCATCAAACTTAGCGCTCCCATTGTACAAATACAATAATGGAGGCTGCAGTAAAATCACCTGAATTACAAAATCAGAGATCCATTCCCATCATTTTTGTTGACCCAGCTCTACAAGTTTTATTGTGTTTGTCTCTGTCTCGCTGCATTTCCCCTCTTCGTTTTGGTGAACTGCTGTGACATCGTGATTGGAGATTTCAGTTTTTCCTGAAGTACAGTGGTGTGACCCCTGGAAGAGGTTCAGCACTCAAGGTTAGTTTATACCTATTTCAACAGTCTTCTTAATTCACTTGCATTAATTAGCATTTCAGCTAAAAAAAGTAAGTTGTATCAAGGAGGCATTAAATCATGTCTGGCAATGTCAGAAAAGCTTAGCTGTGAGCACACAGATGTCTCTGTTGAACTGATGGTAATGTATGGCCTGATCTGTCACTGCATTCCAGGAAGAATTTGCTGAGTCCAGGAGCACCTCATATACAACCAGCACAATCAAGTGATAAATGTTTTGCTTGGCATCTCAAGATACAGGTTGAAAGGTGCATGTGTGAGTGAAGGAAGATTCCTTACACGCACACAAAATGGCACATCAGGAAGAAGAGTGGGAAGAAATGTGTTCACTTGATTCTGCTGCTTGTGTAAATTGTCTCCCCATTTTGGTCTCTGGTGTGCTCATTACACCCCCTCTACTGCATAAAAATAACAAATGAGTTGACTGCAAGTTTTGCAAATAAGGTCAGAATGACACTTTCCACATGGCTTCATTATTCTTTCTATGGCCTTTGTAAAAATTCGGAGTGCAGCCACTGAGGCCAGAATAGGATGGGGGAAGAGAGGCTATTTATCCCTGCTTGAAGAACAGATGCTCTATTGCTTTAACTATGGAGATGAAAAAATTTGGGGAAATGTACAAGGGGAAAGAATTAAGAAAGCACTCCATTGTATTCTCTAACATTGAAAGCCCTGTACCTGTAGTTCTGTCATAAGCCCATATAGATCACTAGCCTGCATTGAAGTTTAGTTGTTTTTTTTTAAAGCTTACCTGCTCATCCATAGGTATGCTAGTTGATAGTCATCTAAAGAAACCAGTTATAGCAAAGTCTCCTTTTCTGGCCACCTCAGGGAAGTTTTTATGCATAGGAATGTTTTTATGCATATAGCACTGGGAATAGGGCAATACTGTATAAACGAGACTCACTCAAGTTTGATAAATGCTGAATATATACTAAGAATGCTACATTAAGGCTTTACTCCCAGGCGTTAGGTATGATGTGATTGGCTGGTTTTGACAGGCCAGTTAATTAGCCCTATAGTTTGTTTTGGAAGGGGAGTGTTGGTATTGTTTTTATATGAAGCATTTTAGTATTCTTGTTGTGGCATACAGCTCTGCTCTCACCTGTCCGTCACAGCTGGGCAGGGGAACCTCAGCCAATGAGAGGACGGAGGGTGATGCAGAAGGGGGAGGAGCTGGATTATATAAGGTGTGTGTGTGATGTGTGAAAGAGGGAGTTTTGGAGAGTTTGAAAAGATGAGAGAAGTTGATTGAGAGAGGGAGATAGATTTGAGAGAGAGAGTCAGTGAGGGGAAAGTCTGTGTGATCTAGTAATTGAGAAACGTGATTAACAACTTGATTTATTACCTGTGATTCACCCTTTTTATTTTGTACAAATCAATAAACACTTTGTTTGCTTGAAAGAAAAACTAGTCCTTTGTGAGTACTAAGGATAGGTTGGTGGCAGCAAGTGAAGAAAATAGTGAGCACTCTTGGAGGCCTGTATTGGTAGAGGCTTGAGAGTGGCCCGCTACAGTTGTTAACTGTTGTGCCTAAAGCAACGTGGGCCAAAAATAGAGATAATAATGAAGTTGATATTGCTTATTTTTAGCGACTGCTCGGGAAGATGAAAAGGGAAATGCTCTAGAAACGATGTCAGTATCTTACAGACTCTGGTTTAATTGTATGTGTGTGTGTGTGTGTGTGTGTGTGTGTGTGTGTGTGAGTGTGAGAGAGAGAGAGAGAGAGAGAGAGAGAGAGCATCCCCAGCAAGAAGCACAGGGTTGTAGCCTTAAGAATTATTAAGCATTCTAATTGCGGACCTACATTTTTGGGGCCCTGAAGCTTGAACTGTTATGTGGGAGAAGGGGACTTTTGCAACCAGCAACAAGGTCTAGATAACCACTGTAATCTTCTTCAATATGGTTTCTCTACAACAGATCACCCCTGGTTGTTGTTTATTTTTTTTTAAAGGTGGACTAAAGTAACTTCTGGTGCCCCTCTGTGATTAGGGCCCTGAAGTGTAAGCCTCATTAATTTCATAGTTGATCTACCCCTGAACATCCCATTTGCTGGTTGGATGTAGATTGCTTTGTCTTGTTTTAATGCTTAAGACACTATTTGCAAATGAAATGGGAACTGGGAACCCCAAGCCTTCCTTTCTTCTCATCAGTGGATTCTGGTCAGTCAGGAGGTGTGCATTTGTGTAAAAAGGCTAATAGAATTAGAGTAGAAAAATTAGAATAAGGGCTTTTGGGCTGTCAGATTAACATGTTCTTTAGGTTTTCAGTGAGGTGGCTGTATTAGTCTGTTTCCACATGTATAACAGGCACCTTAAAGACTGAAGATTAATTTCAGTGTGAGTTTTCATGGATTACTATGGACTTCCTGAAACATATGGAACATAGTAGTTACTAGGCCTCAGGTTTATATATGGAAGAGGACTAGGGTGGTGGGTGACAATTATATTGGCAATGAACTTTTAAAATGACAGCAAAACCAGTCACAATTAGTTAATAATTACATGGACAATGTAACTATCACCCTCTTTTTCCCATCTCATTTGGTCTTCACCCCTCTCCCTTGTAAATCTATTATGGTCTAAGTATTATGCCCCATGCATCTGAGGAATCCACTAAAGCTCACACTGGGGGGAAAAACCCTCTTAAGATGACACAGGGTGTTTTGTTTTTGTTTTTCATCATGTTCTTTATACGTTACTTGAAAAAGTCACCCTGTGTATCTGCTTGTAGAGCCACATAGTAAATATCCAATTAAGTTTTGTTTTACTTAAAATATGTATCTGGCATTGACTCTATTTTAGTTTAAGAAAACTATGAAACTGCTTTATGATGATTGTTTATAATAGAGAGATAATTATGGGAATGGGAAAAGCTATATAAATATTTACAAAACTTTAAAAAACAGTTAATATGTCAATACCCTTATATTAATTATGTAGATTCTTGTAGGCAGTGATCCAAAATTACAGTGGATCCTGTGCTGACCGTTCCTTTCATCTCTTGTGAATGGTAAAGCTGAGACAGGCTTTAAAGTTCCATATGAATTCTGCTCATTTGCAAAATTCTGAAGACCTAGGAGAGGCAGTAATCTGACATTAAGCCACCATGAAGGAGTATCTGGAAAGTAAAGCTAATTACTTTTGCTAATTGTAGCTGGCAGGGATTCCAGACTAAACATGGGGGAAGGGATGCTCATTGAGTTTATTAATCTTCAGTTCCTCACAGTTTACTTTAACAGGTCTGCAGCATGAGAAATTGACATGAGGAAGATAGCTAGATTGCTGTCTTCCTTTTGAGAGGCTTCTATCTCAGAATAGAAGTTCTGAGAACATCCGAGAAGTTCATAGAAGCTTCAGCATTTGAGGACAGAGCAAACATTCTAAAATGGTTATAGTTCTTTGCAAGAACACTTAACTTGTTATTAAAAATGAGAAAGTTGTGTTGTCATTGGCAGAAGAGCTCTTATAAAGCAAATGGCTAGTATTTGTTACAGCTTGAACCTTCCCGTATTTGTTTCTGAGTCCTACCGAGTTTAGCAGAGCATACTGTTAACCAAGTGCATAGGATTATAGCAGAATCTGCAACCTTTGGGGGCTCGTAGCCACATCTGGAATGTTGCATGCTTGAGTGGGATCATAAAATGGCTGCCACAGGGCGTGCTAATTCGCAAAATGGCTGATGATTGTTGGGGGCAATTAATTATAAAATATCCCTTTCACAGAAAAGCGGAATAGGTAAGACTAAAAGATAAGCATTTTGCTCATAATCTGAGTAAAAATACTGAAGGGGAGTCTAACTCCCAACACATAAAACCATGGTTTTGAACCCACAGTTTCTCTTCCTCTCAATCAGGGCCCATTGTTTTCCCTACAATAACTCTTGTTCTCACCTCACAAATGCACAAACATGGGGAGGGAATAGATTGTGATCTACAAAAACTCATGGTGAAATTGATCTGTTAAATTTTCAAGGAACCACAACTCATTTGTTTCTATGTTTTTTTTTATTCACAAGATCCCACACATCCCACACTGTGAGCACACATCATCCACATACTTTCTCAGGATTTTCTCTCTTCCTGAACCACACAGTCTCTCTCACTTAGTCACTCGTAAATTCTTTTGTTCATTCTCTATCTCTCTCAAATACATTGCCACTTTTGAGGGGTTCTTGGGAATGGTGCTTTGTGACAAGACTCCCCTGGGCCATCAGCCTGGTTTTATTTTTCTTCACCACCTTCTGTTACTGCCTCATCCTTCTTTTTCTGTTCTTGTGCCAATTTATACTAAAGGGTTTTCTTACATGCTGCCTTTGTTGGTTCTTCATTCTCTACTAGTCATCATGAGCAGAGGAAAAAACATTAATTTAACACAGTGAGTGCTGCAGCATCAATTGACTGGCTAGTCAGCATGCCTTCCTTTGATGCAGGCATCATTATTCACTTTGTTGGCAAGGGACAGGATCTTTATACTCCATGATCCAGATGGTAGCATGCCCACCCTCAAGAGTTTTTGTGCACATTTCACATTTTGGCACTTTTTTGATGAGAGCATTTGGGAGTAACAAATGTTGTTTTGGAGTATATTCCATCCTTCTACGCAGAAGCAAATCCCACTGAATTCAATAGGAATGTAATTTACCATTCTGAAAGATCAGTTACATTAGTGAAATACATCAGATTCTGGATTCTTTTAAAATGATGTAAAGTCACATAGGTTTTGTGTCATTGTATGTCCCCATATGTGTCCCCATAATTTTTTAGTTTAGTGTTAAATCGATCCAGGGAACTACACAAGAATTCCTTCTTTCTCTCTCTCCTGCCCTTATGCTGGCCACCTCTCAGAGCCACTTGTTGCTGCTGCTATGTGTCACGTAGTCGGAATTTTAAAAATTTATTTCAAACATGCTAAACCGGATTCAAAAACAGGAGTTGGTTTTTTTAAACGTATAATCACATTTTC